ATATCATGTGTGCATCATAATTGGTCCATGTATAATAGTTTATTAATTTTTTATCTTTTAATTTAATTTGCAATATCGCATGATCTAGTAGTCAGAATCGAACGTTTTTGATACCATTCAATTCGTCTCATTGAGACGAATCGAATAGTACCAAAATCACTCGATTCTGATCACTAGATCACGTGATATTGGCCGTAGAAGTTACCTGCGTCATAATACCCCTCTTTACCTTATATTTATTTATTTTACTAATAGAATTAATTTATATAATTTATACAAAATTAAAGGCTACCGTCCTATTCCTGTGGATATATAATAAACGCGATTTTTTATTAGATAAACAAATAAAGTGCATTTAAGTAAACATGAACACGATGTTAAATTACACTTAACATTTAAGTTTTATACAAATCGGGCAAGATTTTACTAATGGGTAAGGCCATTTAATTACAGGTTAAAAATTTTATAAAAAAAATTTTTTTTTTTATTGATATTAAACTAAAAACTGACTAATAAAGTTGATCTCATTTTCTACAAAAACTTCAGGAGTTGTATAATTCATTATGGCAAACACAGTAAATATATATATTTAGTAAGGCTCTTGTTGACTTACATGTAAATATCGTGTTTAAATATATGGCATTTAATAGTAACCAAATATTTAATTCTGCAAAATTAATTTTTATTTAAATGCAACATAAAACAAGATTTAGCAGGCTATAATCAATTTATTTTACCCTCCAACAATGTGATAAAAATCTATTTATCACTAATTTTTTTTGCTTTTTTGTTATTAACTTGTTGTTCTTGCCATTCTTTTCTTAATTTTGCATCTTCGATTTTCTTTTGCTTCATGTTTTCTCAGTCCTCTAATTCTCTTACAATTGATTTCACAGTCACAAATGTTCTGAACTTGAAGGCCTTGGGCCTGACTTGAGGTTTTTTTTCTACTGATAATTGCTTTGGATAGGGATACTTCATAATTGAAGATAATAACATAATTTCAGGATTTTCTAATCTTTGAATATATTTGTATAAATCTTTATTTTTATTTTCAAGCTAAGTCAACTTGCTAATTCTTGTATTATGCATATGAGTTATTTCTTGGCTTGAAATAACAGGTTGATAAGTTGATAGTGAAGGCATTAAGCGTTCAGGTTTAATCACATTAGGATTTAGGGGCCAAATACCAGTTGTAGCAAATGCATGTTGAATTGCATTTGGAGTGTATGTTTTGTAAAATGCTTCACCAAAAACTTGTACAAATGAGTATTTTGTAATTACTTCATATTCATTATTAGAACAATAATGATCTGATACCTTATCATACTCAGACTTAAGTTTTTAAAAGGAATTTCTGATGGCTGAAGAATATAAGTAGTATTAGAAGGTAAAATATAAAGAAGAATATTGTTATCATTACAAAATTTGATGCTAGTTAAATTGATATAACTAGTAGCCCCATTAAGCATAAGCAAGACAAGTCTTGTAAGAGGAATTGAGTTGTTAAAATACTCTATATACATTCTAAAAATATCTTTGTACATATAACCAGTATCAGTAAATGCAGCAACAGTACTAGGTGAAACTGATACACCATTCAATAAATCTCTAATTACATTAACACCTTTATAGACTCATAGAAAGATATTTATATGATTGGTTAATTTTTGTAGATCCACTCATGGTTTTCCGTGATAATTAACCAATCAAATTACAAAATATTTATCATTTTAACATGACTAAAAATGAGAAGAACTTCATATAAAGAAGTTTACAAACTAATAAATATATATAAAAGAATCTATTCAAATATTTAAGAATAGATAGATATATGTAAAGTGAGAAAAATATAATATTTATTACTTATAAACTCAATTTCATTAAAAAATCTACAAGATATAAGCTAACACTTTAATTTACAGTTGACAAACTCAAACACACTACAAGAACCAACCAAACTTAAATATTAAACTTGAATTGTCTATTACTAAAGAGTTT